TTCTCCTCCCCGGGCCCACCCAGACGAGGGCGGCCCCTTTTTTTGAAAGCCATCAAATTCAATATTTACAGGAACAATCCCATGCTTGGTTCTAAAATTACTGGCCACACAAGGCACCGTTTACTTCTCACAACAAGAAAAAAAAACAACAACTAGGCTTGTGCCTTGCACTTAAAAACTAGAATAAATAAAGTTTTTAAAAAAATTTTAAATAAATTGCTTATTGCACGTACCCCCTTTCCTTCCTGTTGAGGAACAGAGTAAACGCCGAGGTTGCCAGGGTTGGTGGGGGGGGGGGGCTCCACCGCCTTGGCAAGCCCCACAGCGGCCGCCCTGTAACTTTAAACCTGGCCTGAGGTCATCGCGTTCGCGCGGCCAAACAGAGCGAGAGGGCGGTCCTAGTGGCCCCAGGGAGACCACCTTACCGCGGGCGCTCCCGCCTCCCCGGCACCGATAAATGCCCACTCCGCTCCCAAAGTTCCCAGCTGCAAAGTTTGCTCCGCTGACTGCCCGGCCGCCGGAGGAAGCTGGGGGACCCCTCTTGCCCTGGGACTTTTGCTCCCCGCCTTCCAGTCCCCCGTTTCGCGCTCCTCCAGGCGAGGGCCTGCGAATCTTCCCAGAAACTAGCTGCTCGGCCGGCCGAGGGGAACAAGCTGCCCGAGAAGATGTGGAAGGCGCGGGTGCTGCTGTTGGTTTGGGGGAGTGCATTGCTCTGGGCTCCGGCAGGAGGAGGTAAGACCCGCTCCCGCCCCGCGGCTGCTGGTGAGGACCTGGGCCGGGACCCGCGGGAGTGCCCGGGCCTGTGTTTTGAGGTTGCCTAGGAGAGCAGAGGGGCGCGGGGAGGGTGTGCCTGCGAGTCCGGAGGACCCGGGAGAAGGGGAGGCAGCGCTGAGCTGGTGCCGGGTCGCAAAGAAAGAGCTGAATGGGGTGCGAGGAGGAGACCCCGAATCCACAGGCGGCAGAAACGAGGAGTAAAGGGGTCTCCCTCACAGACAGCCCACCTCCTGGCATGCCCTGCTCAGCTCGGCTCGCAAGAGAAAGGGTGGCGGATGACGGGTAACAGCAGGAGCCTTCCCTGGCCAGGACTGAGCTTCCCTACAGGGCCGTGTATTGGAGGAATGCCGTGGCCTCCCTCCAAGGAGATTGGGCTCATGGGATGGGGAGCGACATCCAGGAGTGCCGGCCAGGGGAGAGGATTCCCCCTGTGAATCGATGCTCTCCCTCTGGGGGCTGCCAACTTGTGCGCCCCCAGACACACTCAGGGCGCATCCCTGGGGACCCTCTGTATTGAGGATCGTGTGGGAGGGAAGGACGGAGTGGAAGGCTCCGAGTAGCAGGAGGGAATGGAGGGTGGCTGGGACTGGAGGTTTAAGTTGGTTGGAGACGCTGTGTTGAGCTTGTGCAATGATGCCCATGAGTGTTGGTGACTCCTCAGACTTCAGGTATGTTAGGTCTGATGATGGGGCACTGCCTACCTGGTCATCTGCATCGTTCCATTCCCTGTCCCTCTTCTTGCCCGCTCGTCCTCCTCTCATCCCTTACCTTTCTGCCCAGTTGGTGGCATCCCAGGACGTTTGTCAATATTTTACTTCTTTTCTTGGGTTTTTATCATCTGTTTTCCCCAAAGAATCTAAGTTCCCCAGGACACAGCAATGTCTGGCGCGTGCTATTTGCTCAGTCATTATTGGTAGAAGGGATTCTCATCTAACTAGAGATCTTTGGAACTGGAGGCGGCTGGGCTGTGCTCTGAAGGTAAACTCTGAGATTTTCCAAACTGAGGATCCCAGTGCCAGAGGAATCCTCGTAGGGAGTGGCTCGAGGGAGGAGGCTCCAGCAATTCCACGCAAGGACAGAAATACCCAGCCCGGGGGAAGTGACACAGGAGAGGGTGCTCTGTGCCCAGCTGTCTGCTTCCGAGATGGAGCAACCCTCTCCGCAGGCCCGCGGGCTATTCGTGGGGGCCCTATCTTTGTCACTTCTCTTTTCCCTGTAATATACACGACTCTGCGGTTCCGTTACATTTCCTTTTTGGCGAGACAGTGTGCAGATGATACCGTGTAGAGCTCACCAGGGCAAGGTGTGGGAGGTCCCCAAACGGAGCAGTATCCCAGCCCTGCTCAGGGGGATGGGGTGGGGGTGGGGGGTGGAGCCGGCAGCTGGGCGGCATCCTCTGTTTGCTCCAGGGAAGGGTTAAGCTGTAATTATCCCGAAACCGGTTCCTGAGTGTCTGAGGTACTCCCGAAGGGTCGCTGGCAGGAAGCCTCCTCTGAAAAAACTGCCAGGGACTGCTAAAGACAAGCCCCCGGGCTATGGGTGAGGGGGCTGTGAGTGGATGCTGATTTGCTGGCCTGCTGGCTAGGAGCTGAGGCCCCGAGGGGTTTTGTCTGAGGATAATGAGGGAGGCGACTTGCATCAGGATGAATAGCTTCATTGAGCTGAGCTGTTGTTGGCTCAGGTTGAGGAGTAGGGCTGGGGGTAATTATGGTGATGAATTTTATTATCTTTCTCCCAGGATCCTGCTCCCTACTGGGCCTCCCCCATCTAGTGTTGCTATGCTCCGCGTTAGTTTTATAATCTGGTCCCATGTGTTGTCTCGTGGAGTCAGAGGGTTCAGAGACCCTCCGTTGTCCACACATCTGGCATTTCCCTCAATGGTCAGCCCCACCCTCACTCTGAAACCTCATCCAAAGCACGCACTTCAGGACTGCTTTTTGGGCGAGATCCTGCAGGCCGCTGCTTGCTGCAAAGCCCTGTGCTCTTCCCCGCCCAGTCCACCCAGGATTAATCATGCGGCAAACAACTTTCCCTGTGATTTCCCCGAAACCCTTGCCAGTTTCGGAGGCCCTGAAATCTTCATGAGTTGCTAAGAGTTTTTGTGGCATCAGCCGAGCGTTTCGTAAAAGTCAGGTCTGTTAGAGCTTGGGAGGGAGGCCTAGCATTTCACTTGGTGTATGGCCGTGGTCGGCAAACTGCGGCTCGATTTCTTATTCCATGTTCTGGTCAGAAATATTTTTTCAATGCTTTAGAAGGATAATAACAGAATGCTTGGCATAAAGAGAAGCATCAAACTGAATAAATATCCAGGTTTACCCCTAGTTGTGAGTCTCCTCTCTGAGACTGTGTGAACAATGATGGAGATGATAATGTGTTTCCTTCCCAGGTCATGGAGGACACTCAGGCTGTTAACTGGGAGGCTGAAGAGGAGGAGGAGACAGAGAGACCCAGTGACTCCTTGGGGTGTAGCCTGGAGCCCCTAGGGCGACTGCATGTCTTCAGTAGTGCTCACGGACCAGAAAAAGGTCAGGGGATAGTGATGCTGAAGCACTAGTGTAGGCTCTTTCTTCTGTGGGGAGGGAGTTGGAGGGTTCTAAGAAACTTACGTATATATTTTGTTAATCTTCCCCTGAAAATATTTTTTCCATTTATTTTTTTTTTTTTTTTTTTTTTTAGAGAGAGTGGAAAGGAGCAGGGGGAGGAAGGGAGAGAGAAAGAGAAAGAAGAGAAATTGGGTGTAAAGAGAGACACATTGATTGGTTACTTCCCTCCCCCACGGGGGCCAGTGATCGAACCTGCAGCCCAGGTACTGCCCTTGCCTGGGAATCGAACCTGCTACCCTTCCAGTGCTTGGGCCGATGCTCTGTCCACTGAACCGCACCGGCAAGGGCAAAAAGCACATTTAAAAAAAAATAGCCACGCATGAGATGGCTAAGTCAGGACTGCGAGCACAGGGAGGAACCCTGACTGAGCAGAGGTATGCAGCCCCCTCTCTCTTTCTCTGGCCTCTGAAGTCTCAAGATTCCCACGGGGTGAGCAAATGCGAAAGCAGCTCTCCATCGCGCACCACCCTCCTCTCTCCCATTCCCATTCCCCACCACCTTCTAGGACCGTCAGTTACCGCATTTCATCACCACAACTCCTACATTACTTACTATTATCTTCAGGATACAACAGAATTGGGCTTCTGAAATGGGTTTAACTCCAACCACAAGCTCTTTAGACATGAAAGTTCTTTAAACATGAAAACAAAAAAATGTTAAGAGGTGTAAGCAGTTCTTTACACTGAATGCGTACTGTAATATTCCTTTAAGAATGAACATACCGCAGTACATTACGATAGGATTCATCCATTCATTCCCCAAATGGCACCTCAGCATGTCCGGAATGCTTGGTGCGGCGCTAGGTGCAGCCTCAGAGTGTGCACACCTAACCTGAAAGCACGCTCTGAACGCCGCACCAGCCCGGCCACACACCTGTGCTTTGAATTCCATGGGCTTATCTGAATATTTGTCATATTTCTGGCTTCGAAAAGTAGGCACGCCAGGTTAGAACTTGTGGAAATGTTATAGGGGAGGCCAGAGAGAGAGAGAGAGAGAAGACAGGAATACTTAGCACTACCCTGTGGCACTCACTTGAGAAATCTGATTAAGATCCTGACACCTCTCACCTCTCAGTGAGAGCGGTTTGTTGGAAAAGAATCACATGATTGGTGGGGAGGTGAATTAGGGACGAGGCGGGTGGGGCAGGTACTTCTAAAGCCAAGAATAAGTTTTAGGATTCCCATGGGGTGAGCAAACACCAACGCAGCTTTCGATTGCACGGGTGAACCCTTTCCCTGCTGATTTCTGGAAACTTGGGGAAGGGAAAGTGACCAGGCATTTTATCCGAGGGCTATGAGAGATGGAGCCAGGTTAGGGAGCAACAGGAATGGTGTGCCAAGTTCATCCAAGGCAGGAAGTCGAGCTGGTGGCTTCCTTCCCTTGGGTCTCACCCAGCACCCACCAGCCAGCCTGCCCACAGCGGGCCAGTCCGGGCAGGCCCTCCGTTCAGCTTCGGCATAGGGTGTGGGCAGACGCTCCTATTCTCCTGGCCCATTGCCTCTGCCCTGGAGGAGCCTGGCTTGTCCTTTGAGGGCAGTCCAGCTGGAATCAAGCCAGGTCCACAGGGAGACCTGCAGGCCTGGCCACCTCATTCACCTAGCTGTCTGAGGACCTGCGAACTGAACTTGTTAATGCAACACTAAATTGCATGCAAGAGG